TAACGGAATTTCCGTGACCATAGTGCCTGTATCAATAGGCCTGTTCTTTTTGGCTTGAACTTTCTCTCCAGGAGGAAAAAAGAAGAAGAAAGATGAACTGGTGCAAAAGTTCAGTCAAAAAGAACAGGCCTATTGACTACATTTACACGATACCCTTGGCTGCGATCCACTTGACGCTACAAACGCTTCGAAGCATTTTTTGATTAGTCAATTCGTAAAATTCTTTGTTCTGATTGGTCGCTCAAACGCTTAAATGGACCGCAGCCTATTTCGGTCAAATACATGATATTTAATTAAAAATGTCTGGATGACTCACAAATGTTTTTAATGTGGTATTTCATAACTCTTCATACGAAATACAAACGATTCCATGTATAAACTTTGTTGAATTTAGATCCGGTTAATTATTTCGGTCAAGTACGTATGTACATGGTCCAAAAAAGAATGATTAATTGTAATTAATAGAATGACTCATAAACCTTTTTATTTGCACTTCAAAACTCTTCATACGAAATACAAACGATTTAAAATAATAATTGTTACAACCGGAGGTTTTGTCCGGTCACGTACATACGAATGCGAATTAGGCATTACGTTGTAAAAATCGTCTCGTTGATTGGTTGTTGCTTCAGCTGCTTAACGTTTGACGCTTGCATGTGAATGCACCTTAAGGGGTTACACCACTATAACTTGTGAAAAAGAAGCGTATTTTTACGATTTTTTTTCGGTGCAAGGAAGGGTAAGAAGATAATAATATTCAAGGATGTTTTTAAGCATGTATTGAAGTATTTAAACAAAAATTTTCGCAGCAAAAAGTTGAAAAATGGCGGCGATAGAGCAGTTTCCGCGAGCCTGGTTAAATTTGAGGTCCTCCGCGGTACGCAGTGTAAAGGTGCCTTTTCATGCCAACACTCGACGCTCATTTTCAGGGTCAAAATAGGTCATGTAACCAAAATTAACGCTGATATTCGTCAATTTCTATCACGTGATTTATATTGACGCCGAAAATGAGCGTCGAGCATCAACATGAAAAGGTACTTTAAGTGTCGTAGGATTGAATCTGGAACAAATTAAAAAATTGTTTCTTAATCTACGTGAATATAGCTAGAGAAATACGTAGAGGATTTTGAAAATATTCATTTTTGCGTAATTGGCGAGCATTTGAAGTTAACAGTCCAATTTTTGACCAAAAAATGAAGATTAAATTGTACATATAAAATCTAAAATTCAACGTATCGAAAATCCCCTACGTATTTCTTTGCGGAATGTCCTTTTAAAGCTGTGGTAAAAATTTTGAGTGAACAAAATAAAAATTGTTTAAGTTATGCTGCGTGCTGTGATGAAAAAACGTGTGTTGAGAAAACGACGTTTAAAGTTTTGAGTTCTGTTATGGATATGAAAAAATAAAAAATTTGACAGTTAAAATTTTTTACCATTAATCTGCTATTCCTGGACCATAAAACTGCCCTTCTAAATTAAAATTGGCCTCTTCGTTTTCTTTTTTTGTCGATTTTAGGCTGGAGCGCGCTTCTTTCGCTACAACAGTGACACCTCGGCATGCTTTATCCGCGCAGCGTCCGCTTCGACGCAAAAATTGTAAGACTGAGGTCCAATTGTCATCTCCAAAACTTGCATAATTCGTAAAATATTACTTAGTCCGTCATTAAAATTGCAAACAGCAATATCAGTCGCTATTTGCAATACTTTCTTGCCACTTAAGTAAGATTTAGGAGCTAAGTTCCATACGGTCGCATTGAAGCTTTCGTTACTGTTTTGAGTATATCCGCCTAAGCACCGATTGAACAACTCGTCGCGACTCAAATCCACATAAATCGGTTTTAATTTTTCAAAAACATCAGCCGGTAGCGGCTTATGATGGAAGTCACGTAAGGAATTCGTTGCTTGTACCTTCTTCCAGACCTTCTTCCAGTTACACCAAGATTCGGAGCACAGCTCGTGCTGGGGATTTTCGTCGGTTGATGTTTTATGATATAAGGTCGCCCATATTTCATTTTTCATATTTTTTAACGAATTCGGATTACACCGTATCGCCAAGCCGTAATATATCGTCAATTGATCAATTAACTTATTAGTTAATTTGCCTTTTCCGCCGAGGTTTTTAACTGTTTTTTTAAGATTTCTCAATCGTATGCCCATCCTCTTTTGCACATGATCAATGCATTCTTTCTTTTTCACTTCAAAATTGTCGTATAGTTGTTTATCCATGATGCCCTTGAAGGTTTTGCTGTCCCCATCACCGATGTAATTTACGTACTTCATACCGTGTAATGTGTCGGAGCGTTCAAACATTTCGACGACAAGCGTCTACTTCCATTTTACCAGACTTCCTTCGTGATTTGACTGACATTGGGCGCGTTCAAGTTGACAAAGCGGCTAACCTGCTCGCCAAGCAAATGAACATAATTGGTTGTTACTTATAGATCCAACCAATCATATTCAATCGCTCGGTAAGCACGCCTAGCCGCTTTGCCGTCTTGAACTCGCCCATTGATTGGCATGTGTAAGGAACCATTCTTCATACTCGGCTGTATTTTCTTTTCTCTTCCAGTGCTCGCAAGTCTTACAATATTTGGATTTTACTTCAACGTCGACGATTTTTCCCGTAAACCATCCAATCAATGACGTAATTCCGAAAAGTGACGAAAACCCCCGTTTTCTCCACGACCCGTCACCGGATACAGTTATTCCTCTAATTTCTCCACTTTCTTCACTTTTTTTTTTCACATCTTTTGCCGCTTTCTTCATACTGGCCTCTCGCACACGTTGCCGTTCCGATTGAAATCGTATCCACTATTCGGTCGTAAAAAGATTGGAATATCGGTCGAGGTAATTCCATGAATGCATAAAATTTCATTATTCCAGTTAGCCCCACTCCTAATATTCGCATTGTTAGTACGATTCGACGGTTAATTTCATATGCATTTTTTATGAATGAACTACTTGGAATTTCAACTCTTGGGCAATTCGAACAAGAGATCGTTATTTTGAATCCTAAACCCCGAGGACTTGTTTCATCAAACTTTATGTCTGAATTACACGTCTTACACTTCACATGTTGCGAAATAGCAGAAAAAACGGTAAAATAGTTTATTATTCTATAACCAAATTCACATTTTACATCTATATCGTCATGATCAACTTTCAACGTTTTTTAGCAGAAGCACTAACTCCCGACGAACCATCTTCTACTTCGAATCTATTTAACGGTCGTCGTTTTGTCACGCTGCTTCGACGCCGCGTTGAGTACGATGTTTTTGTTCCTTTCTTGCCCGTGTACACTTTTTTGTCACTCATTGTAACTTAATGACACTTTTAAGATTGCGAATAAACTGTAAAAACTCAGCGCTACACAAAAAATCGTGTATCCAAGGAATTTATGCGACGAATTTACGTCCTTTCAAGCGACGAGATGACGCAATACTAACGTACTTTCTTTGACTCGGCGTCTAACATACTTCTCAAGACATCTATCGGTGATTTCGTTAAGATAGAACTCAAATGGGCGGTCAGAACAGTATCTGCCGCACGGGCAACGGTTTTGCGCAGGTAGTCGTTTCAGAGCCATCCGAGGCGCTCGGAAAAAGGGTCGAGAATTCAATGAAAACGATTACGGGCAGGTATAAATCTTTTTCCTCCGTATTCTAGAGGTTTCAAAGTATCTTTTAAGCCAATAAAAAAAATCGATTTTTTGAAAATTTTACAGTGGTGTAATAGCTCCTGCACATTGGACGCGAAAAAGCTTACCGCGCGGCAAAATGTGATGCGGTAGCCAATAAGCTTACAGCTCCTAACATGTTCATTGGTTACCGACTTAAGTTGTAGAAAATTGACCAATCACAGTCGAATATGAAAAGAATAATCGACAGTGATTGGTCAATTTTCTACGATTTAAGACCCTACGACCGTTACGACTTCTATTGTAGACTCCGCATTAATCTCAAGCAATGTCTTAAAATGTTAATACGGCTCTCTGATTGGTTCATGCACTAACTTAAGCTAGAGACCCTTTAATCAGAGACTAACCATAAGTCCGGATCTACAATAGGTGTTTTAAGACTTAAGCCATAAGAAATGGGCGAATCACAGTCGATTATTCCCCTCGGATTCGACTGTAATTGGTCAAATTCTTACAACTTAAGGCTTAAAACACCTATTTTAGATCCAGACTTATGGTTCCTGCACACTGGACGCGGCAACGCTTGCCGCGCGGCGAAAGTTGGAGTAATAGCCAATCAACGTTTCGCTTGCTCGGAAGTATAATAGATATATAATTTCCACCGCACGACAAAAGTTGAATTCAATTCAACTTTTGCCGCGTGGCGGAAATAGTATTACATCATTTCTAGGGCCGGTATTCATAGTCAGATCTTAAATTCAAGACTGTTTTAAGTTCAACCTTGAGGTATCATGAACTAATCAGAGAGCCGCATTAGCGTCTTAAGGCATTACTTAAGCCATTACTTAAACCGGTCTTGAAATAAGAACCGACTATGAATACCGGCCTAGAAGTTTTGCAAGGGTTTGCGTTCCACTGAACGCTCGCAACGCTTGAGAACATCGTTTGTCCTTGTTTAACATTTGATAAACAACAAGGATGAAATAATCCATGAGCATTGTGAGCGTTAAGCTGATTTTATATTAAGCTGGTTCTACATTAGTCGCAATCAGAGTCGAGCTAGCTTGATGTTGATTGGACCGCAACGCCTGCAACGCTGCGATGCGACTAATGTAGAACCAGCTTTAAGTGGAACGCAGCCAAGGCAAGACCGACTTAAGAACATAGAATTATTTTGCCAGTGAAAAACATTGGGCGCGTTCAAGTAGACAAAGCGGCTAGCCTGCTCGCCGAGCAAATGAACATAATTGGTTATTACTTATAGATCCAACCAATCATATTCAATCGCTCGGTAAGCATGCCTAGCTGCTTTGCTGTCTTGAACTCGCCCATTATTAGCACAGTATATACTGTGGCGCGGCATTGTGCGGGAGCCATTAGAAGTCTCTTGTGCAAGTTTTTGGTTGTATCGTATTGTATTGTTTACGTTAGTATATGCGACTAGAATGAATACGAAGGAAAAGGAAAAATACATCGAGGAATTCGATTTTCCATATTGCGATGAATCTTCCAAATATGAAAAAGTTGCGAAAATTGGCCAAGGAACTTTCGGGTAAGCAAGAATCTTACGTTTAGATCATGCGATATTTAAGGTTATGGCCGATTATCGAGAGATTTCTTCTCCGTGATTTGTCCGATTTCAGGGTTGGCACAGAAAAACCCAGGGTTTACAAAAACCCAAGTACAAATTACAAAAACCCTGATGCATGTCAAATTTCATTGTTTTACATAATATTAATATACATTCGCATTTTTAAACAAAAACTCAATAAACTAAAAAAAAATGCTCGTGTTTTTTGACCTTTCTAACTACTATTTTTGCTTAACAATCTCGAGCTAGATATTTTATTTTTATATATTTCAGTTCATTTATGTCAGTTTAATTATAATTAAACATTGGAAAGAAAGATTCAATATATTAAAAACAAGAAGTCATATCACAAGTTGAACGTAATACGTTTAACATTATGAATAAAATGATATAAAATTGAAATAAATCTTTAACGTCATCTTATTGTCAAGTGAATTTAACTATTTCGTCGTTGGATGGCGAGAAAAAGCAGTCTTTCGAAAGTTTTCAAAACAAATCGAATAATGTTTAACCAAATCATTCCAAACATACTGCGATAATACGTTTGATAAATTAGATGAAAAAAAAAAAACACTTTCTATTAAGAGAATGTATTGATTATGTAAATCAAATATTTCTAATTAAAAAATTTTTTTCTTTGAATATAGTATCTTATCTAATTTTTGATTGACCTTATAATATTTAAATTGTAAGTTGCGAAAGAAATTATTAGAAAAATGTGATGGAAAAACGTTATTAGAAATACATAATTTTTAAAAATGTACCTGTGATATGGCTCTTATAAGTTTACAATTAATATCAATCCAACGTTTCAAAGTTAAAACCTCATAATCACTGAAGTATTAGTAAATAAAATCAAAATAATGATGAAATTTAAAAAAATTATTAGAACGCATTAGTTATTACCAAAAGTTATTAGTACGACCTACATGCGAATAAATTGAAATGTGTAAAATACCATATCTAGCTTGAGATTGCTAAACAAAAATTAGTAGTTACAACGGTTAAAAAACATGAGCAACGTTTATTGAATCTTTAAAAATAAATTAGTTTATTACAACATACATTAAGAATTAAACTAATTTTTTATCTACAAATTAATCGAAAACCTGTTGCAATAATTGTTTAACATAAATGATATTAATAAAATGCTGGTCCTAAATCCTGATATCTATTGGACAACTTTTTGAGATTATATTTTTGTCGAACAGATATTAAGCTTTTAAAACAATAGATGGGCTGTACTAGATGGCTATACTAGTCCTAGAACAAAAACTCACAAAAATCCTCAAAATTTGGGTTTTTCTGGAAAAGCTGGGTTTTTGCCAACCCTGTCCGATTCAGATCTTTTTTTTCAATAACAATTATTCAGTTAACAGACAAGTAAGCATAGTCATACTCTTAAGATTTGAGGTGTGTGGAGAGTATTCTGAATAAATACTATGTCTGCCTTAAATTTTCTAATTTTTGTATCATATGTATGTGTATTCTCTTTTTTCATAGAGAGGTATTTAAAGCTAAGGACAAAAAAACAAACAAAAAGTTTGTCGCAATGAAGAAGGTACTAATGGACAATGAGAAAGAAGGAGTAAGTTTGTTTTATATGGTATAGTATATCATTTAATTCTATGATTGTTAAGGTTACTTTGAAATGTTGTGCTATAAATTTTTTATTAACGCTTGTGTTAACATAATCTTTATATTACGCAAACAACATGTACCTTTTACTCTATTCAATATTTTTAAAAATTTTTAATTTATTATATGTGTATATCGAAATCTTGTTGCAGTTTCCCATTACGGCATTACGTGAAATAAAGATATTACAATTGCTGAAACACGAGAATGTAGTCAACCTTATAGAGATTTGCAGGACAAGAGGTAAAAATATATATTACTTTACCTTTTAATTTATTGTACAATTGTTAATATGTACACGTAGGAGAATAGGAGTTTACTCTTCCATTAGAATAGAATATCTACTTGTTAGAAGAATATGTAAAAAAATTATAACTATAAATATCCGAGAATATTTTAATTATGAAGAATGATTTTATAAACAGCGTTAAATAGTAATTGAAACAATTGGTTTTGACGTTGTATAATCTAATTTAATTAATTTCATAATGTTTTCAGCAACTCAGTATAATCGATATCGGTCTACTTTTTATCTGATATTTGATTTCTGCGAACATGACTTGGCTGGTTTGCTGTCAAATGTAAATGTGAAATTTAGTTTAGGCGAAATAAAAAAGGTTATGCAACAGTTACTAAATGGTCTTTACTACATACACAGTAATAAGGTAAGAAAGGATTTACTTATCCGTTTTACTTGTCCTTTTAAAAATGTCAAGTTCTAAAAAAGTCTTTAATCAGTATTTGTTGATAGAAAGTATAAAGATATAGAATAAAGATAAAGAATGAGTATAAAGATAAAGAATAAAGAGATTCAAGATTATTTTCCATTAAAATAGTAACAATAATCTTTACATACTCTATATTTCAATCTGCATATGTGCATGCACATATCTTTAAATATTTTAATATTCTCGTTAAGTATTTGCCTAATAGTAATGTTTTAAAAAATTGTATTTATTAAAATGACGATTGTGATGGTATGGTTTATCATGAAGAATAATATCATAGAATAAAGTTATTTAGTGATATTATCATTATTTGTTGCTATTAACATTGTTACAATAATTATTACATTCAGCAACACATTTAATTTCTCACAGATTTTACATAGAGATATGAAAGCCGCTAATGTTTTAATAACAAAGAATGGCGTATTAAAGTTAGCTGACTTTGGTTTGGCACGAGCATTCAGTGCAAAAAACGGTCATTCGAATCGTTATACCAATAGAGTTGTTACTCTTTGGTACCGACCACCAGAACTCCTACTTGGTGACAGAAATTATGGACCACCAGTGGATTTATGGGGCGCTGGCTGTATAATGGCAGAAATGTGGACAAGGTTTACATTATTCTATGATTATGTTTTTACTTGTGATTTTTGTATGCGCGATCATATATTTTGCCTTTCTAATCTGCAGGTCTCCTATAATGCAGGGAAGTACCGAGCAACAACAGCTTATATTGATTTCACAATTGTGTGGCTCGATAACGACCGAGGTGTGGCCTGGCGTTGAAAATTTAGATCTATTTACCAAAATGGATCTTCCCAAGGGGCAGAAAAGAAAGGTAAAAAATTTGCGAAAATTGCAAATTCCATAATTTCCATTGCGAAAGTTGCATAATATTTTAAGGAAGCATGTGACTAGTGACATGACTACAAGCTACACTTGACTTAAAAAATTTCACGTAAATTAGTATTCTATTCAGTCAGTTAAACGTACGTTGAATCAGACGTAACACATTTTTATATTGCATTTAAAATTTTGAGTCAGTCAATAAATGATACTAATTAATTAATGATTTAATATATATTATATAGGTCAAAGACAGACTGAAGCCGTATCTGAAGGATCCTTATGCCTGTGACTTGTTGGACAAACTTTTAATACTCGATCCTAGTAAAAGATGTGACTCTGACTCCGCGCTAAATCATGATTTTTTCTGGACTGATCCAATGCCATGCGATCTCAGCAAGATGTTGGCGCAGCATACTCAGAGCATGTTTGAATACCTTGCACCACCGAGACGACCTGGTCATATGCGTCATCCGCATCATCAAGTACCTGGAGGACCAGCCAAACCTAGTTCCAGTATGGCTGATAGTGGCTATCAGGATCGCGTTTTTTAACATATTTATTTCTATTCATATACATATAATGTATCTGTATATATATATATATAATGTATGTATGTGTGTATGTTTTTGTTGTGTGTGAGTATATGTATGATGTACGAGGAGCGTTCAAATTCAAATTATAATTGTGCGTCCAGATAATGAGGCGTGCACGTCACTTTAAAATATGGTGCGTTTTGAATTACGTATGAAGTGCATGATGTATCATTGCATCCTTCACTATTCGGTGAACAATGACAAATGATGCATCATGCGCTTCATGCGTAATTTAGAACATACCCATACTCTCTTGAAAAAATTTGTAGACCTGTTCGCACCTAGGTAATCTTCAGTAAAAACAACAGATATAAGCGAATTGAGGTTGAGCCAAGTGTGGAACAATGCACAACCACTGGAGTAAGGCTTTCAGAGAAGGCTGACGACAACGTCAAGCCAAGAATGAATCGCATCTCTGTGGCATTTAAGAATATATATCACGTCGGCAGAAAATGCTGACCAAATTGATGAGTTTATTTGTTCTGATCGGTACACTATTGTGCACCGTATGCATTAACTCGGATGAACTTTGTTCTATCAAACTTGGCGTCTACCAATTTGTTTCGAAAAAGTACACATTTCAGAGTATCACATGATATGGCCAGCATGTCACAACACACATCGTTAGTGAGACGCGTAATTTAAATTGTAATTAAAATTTGAATGTCTCGTATTTTATACATAGAGCGCAAGTTTTATACGAATAGCTAAGTATCGCGTTATACACTTCCGTCATAATGTTACCAAATTTCATTACAGTTCTAACAGTTAAATTATTTTATTTGAAAATCTATCTGTAGAAGGTTATCCGTTTCGCGGGTTTTCTCCGTGTCCAAATCCATTCTTGGAATGCCAACATTTCGTGAACCTTGCAGTTCACTTCAGGCTACTCAGTATCTCAGAGGCTGCTCCTCGCCCTGATGAAGTGGACTGCAAGGTTCACGAAACGTTGGCATTCCAAGAATGGATTTGGACACGGAGAAAACCTGCAAAACGGATAACCTTCATACAGAAAGCACCCGTGGAAGCCTCAAGATCTATCTGTAGAGTTAATTATATTATTTCTATATCCAAAAACTGCAATAAAGCAAAAACATATACGAGCAACGATTACGAAGTCGTTTACAATGTTTACATCAGCATTGGAGGTTTACTCGCATTACTAGCGGCTTGCAGTTATCTCTCCCTTGCTGAGCCGAGCATACGTCAAATTTTTACTTTTCATTCTTCAACCAATGTATGTACTTACAAGTACCATGTAATAATTAAGTTAAGAAATTGGATAACACTAACGATTAGAAACGAATAGAAACAGCTAGACTAGACGAAGAAAAGCGCGGCAGGAGTGAGGTTAGGTTATTTCGAATATCCTGTCGAGTTGCGAACGGTGGATAAAGCAATTGCTACTCGCAATCATAACAGAGTTACACATTAACATATATCAATTATGTTTTCGAAAAATGTCAAGACTACATTATTGTGCGGCTCGAAAGACTTGAGTAAATCTTTTATGTTTGAGGTATGTAGGCATAATGTTCAAACGTATAAAGACTGTAAATGACGTAATAACGATGTCCAAATCTATCTGTCTCCTGTAATATTCCTACGAGATATATTTCCTAAAGTGGAAAGAAAACATTTTCCTCCATTGTCCTACATCTCCTAGGCTGCGACGTATTGGGCGGAAGAGGGACAACGGGTCGTTTATATTACCCCGATACCTCTGGAAAAACAACCGGCGGCTTGTCACGACAGAAGGAATCCATCAGTCGCCGCGCTCAAACTAATGAGATTCGTGTAAGATTTATATATTATATTGTATTATATTATGTAATACGTTTTTTTACATCTGCTTTCCTATTTGTCAACTTCTTTATACATCTTGGATTTAATTGTTATTTAAAAAGAATAAATAAATATCTTATTTAACGATATTTATACATTCGACGTTTATTCATTCATGCGCATGGCATCGATATTTTACACAGCGCGCATAGTCGTCTCGATGATATTTATTTACACAGATATTTGTTGGATTACGAAGCTCTCGTGGAACAACTTTTTAAATTGCACACCTATGCAGCAGTACCTTCTGTGCTTTTGATAGATGACTTGGACGATTATCTCTTGAGTGACGAAGCTCCTGGAGATGATGATAATTCAAGGTCGCGTATCGCCAGAGTTTGCGCCTTGATACTCCATTCGATGAAGTCGTGTTCACGAATTTTAAAAAAGAATGTAAGGAAGAAATTATTTGTATCTTTGAAAAAACTGATTTCTGCTTTTCTGAATAGCAAATCTGTATTCTCTCTCTCCTTCTAAAACATAAAACATGTTAATACACTTTCTCCAGCATATTATCCATATTTCATTATGATCATCTAGATAAACATACGACTTTGATTCATCTTCTATCTATTTTTTCTCCAACTTTTTCAAAAAAGATTAACTTACATAATTCAAATAAGTAATATCGTCGGAAAATTAAATAGTCGAGAATTATATATTTAGTCTTGATGGTTTTTCAATCTGACGCTGTTTTTATGGTAAAATAAATAACGATTATATTACAGGTACATGTGTGCGCATGGACCAGTTCTAGTCTCATCAATAACTTCATTCAGACAATTTATTTTCGCAATATCTGGAATTTAACGGAGAAGGAAGATGGGAAAATAATTTTGGTGGAAAGGTGTTCTATTAGATCATCGTTAGAACAATCGTACGTATATTATAAATTCCAAGATGGGATGCGAGTTCTTCAACAAATATTAGGCGATTCAGTGGAGGTTTAATGATATTTTTATTAAGTATTTCTGTATTAGTTATTTTCGTTGTTCTTATCATTTTTTTAACAGAATATACGAACATGGAATAAAAATTCTATGAAAGTTATTGCGTACGCAAAATAAACTGCATTAAAATTGCTACGTTACTGGCTGGCGTACGTATTATGAGCAAGATTTGTATAAAGATTTTTTTTTAAATACAGAATGAGAAAAAGAAAAGGGGAGAAGTGAAAATAAGAAAGGAAGGAGAGAGAGAGAGAGAGAGAAACAGACAAGAAAAAGGATGGATAAGGGAAAGAGACTACTACATACTGTGCGCATCGCGAATAGAATTTAAAAAATCTCTCTCTTCTCCCTTTATCTATCTACATCTATTATATCTATCTATCTATCTTCCTTTCTGTAGTGTAAAACATTGTTGAGCCATGTTTATGCAAGGTGTTATTATCAATTGTGATGATACTTTTTTTTTTATATAGAGCAGCTAAAATCGACCATTGTAATTGATCCATCTCTGAAAGTGGGTGGAATGACAGTGGGGCAACAGGGGGAGGGAAGAAATAAGAGACAGCTAGAGACAAATTAGGATTATTCTGCGGATATAATATCAATGCAAAAAAAGATCTATCTACGATTCATTGTTGGTCTGGGATACTCATTGACATAGCAAGAGATATCAATACCAATTAGGTTTCGTATGTTTAAACTCTGCATTTGCACGCTTGCGTACGGCGTATGCGAGATAAGCGTGTAGTAAGTATTTGAATTGAATTGAATGTTACCTGCGCGAACTTGTAAAGTGCAGACGACAACGCAAATTGAGACAAGTTCAAAAAAGTAGAAAAAGGAGGAAGAGAAGAAAGAAGCGCAAGTAGATATGTATGTATTGCATATACATTGCCCTCGAAAAATTTCCGGACATGGAACTTAAAATTGCATAATATTCAAGTCGCCGTAACTCGGTAAAAAATTATCGCAGACAAAAAAATAAAAAAGCATTTAAAGGTTGAAACTTATATTTAATAAAACAGTAAGAAAATTTTTAAAAAAGCATTTTGAAGATATAAATCTTCGTGCTTTTCTGTTTTTCAAAATATTGAACTTTTTGGAAAACAACTTTTTATCAAACTACGCACTGTTAAATGTACGTAATTTTAAGAAATACAATAACGTGATATTTGTTAAGATACAGAACTGTAAAGACAAAATTTTTTTTAAAGGCGGTTAAAAGCATACTAAAGTATAAGTTTTAAGTTTTAAAATGCTTTTTTATTTTTTTGTCTGCGATGATTTTTTACCGAGTTACGGTGACCTGAATATTATGCAATTAAGTTCCATGTCCGGAAACTTTTTGGGGACAGTGTACGTATGCATATGTATTATACATATGCACATTATATCGTTGATACAACGATAATTGCAGTGGAGTTGAATCGGAAGCTGTGTCAACAACATGGCGCAACCAATCAAGTTGGTTTTCCCTTTGTTCTATGCCGCGCTTTCTTTCGCGTAAGCAAATATAACTCGATCTAACGCGATTTAGCGATTTTATTAATAATAAAACTCGGAATGCGTTCGATCCGTACTTGCTTTCAAAAGCATCTCAATTGAAATGTAAATTAACTAAAAAACGAGTACATACCTAACGTATTGTATATTACATTCGTATAAATATTAAATGGCTTAAAAAAAAAATTTTCATCTCTGTCTCATTTATATTTTATCTCAATAAAATCTCTCAAGGCTGTACTTATTAATATCCCATTATAATTTATTTACTTTGAATTATTTTTATAAACGTTTTTTACATTGTGTGTGCGTGCGTGCGTGCGCGCGCGCGCACTTTTTCTTGCTCTCGCTTGCGCTCTCTTAATTCGGCAAATTATCGTCAGATAATTAACATATCGGATGAAAATAAAAGGAGAAGATCGCATTCCGTTTTCTACATGTGCCATTTTATCTTAATTTATAACAAGAACTGGTTGTTGACGCTCGAAAGATGAAGTTTTAAACGAAGGTAAGTGTAGCGTTATCTTCTGTCAGATATCTAACAATAATTTGAAAAGCATTAATATGAAATTATTCATTGACTTTCTCTACATTGATTCTGAAAACTTCACTCATAGTGTGGCATATTGCACTCATGATGATTAACGCGATAATCAACGTTCTCCTTTCATGAGAGTATATCCTCTCGCGCTTTCGTAAGCGATATAAGCCATCAATAACCGCAGGCTTGTTCCCTATTAAAAGCTACATTCCATTGGTCAAACAACCAGTTTTGAATGGGTTTCGAATTCCCGATGACTCATATGGATCTTATTCGATCTCATCCGGCACGTTGTGCATCCGCATTGCGTGAACGGAAAAGAAGAAAACGAAAATAATCACACACACACACACACACACACACACACACACACACACACACACATCGAACATAATTTGTGTCTGTTGAACTTGGCACTCTTTGCATTTTGAATTTACATCCGTACTACGATTCGCGGGTAATGGATTTAAGGATCTCGTTAATAAGGGATTATCTCGCGTACGTGGATCATCATCATGGACACATCTAGGATTTTTTAGAGGGGGAAAGACTTTATCAATTCTGTTGTCACATAAATATTAAATAGCCATTTTTTGCATTAATGAATTGTTTCTTTAAATATTTTAGAGCTTTGAATATCTCCCTTGTTTTCTTTTTAAATAGATTTTAAATGGAAACAATTATAAATATTAAGTTTTGTAAATTATATAAATTTTCTTTTCTTTCCTGAAGAAAGTATAAGCAAAATACAGTTATATTAAAAACGAAATGTGAATAATAGAGTATTTATTAGCTAATAAATATATCAGCGCTATATATATATATATATATATATACACACGTACATACATATATATATAATGTTCTGTTTTTCGGCTCAAAATTCTTGCGTAAATTTTCCTTATGTATCAGACACTCTGCAATCAAAACTGTCACTAACAAAAGTTCCAGAAATCATTTACGTAGTTTTAACAAGGAGAAAAAATATTTTATGTGACAACAAAAGAATTATTTGGTGAGTCAAAAGTAAAGATATATTCTTTTACATGGTGTTCAGCGATCCTTAAATATCCTTGGATCCTGGATTATACTGGAATTTTATGTATTCAGAAAAATTCCTGGAAATTTCCCTGAAATTTCAAGGCTGGCCTAGAATTTAGGTCGTTCTTTCATTCTAAAAAAATTAGAGCGGGAAAAAAGAAAGAAATAATAAAAAGAAAAGTTGCGTTTGAGTAGTTTTCTCTTAAAGATGCAATAAGTTATCAATAGAAAAGTTGAATTTAATGTATAAAATAGAATATAGTATAAAAATCGTTTGTATTGTTGTTCGTTCGATATCACTTAGCAATAAATAATATTGCTCCAAATATGTTAGCGTTTTAATTCATTCGTATATACTTATAGAATCCTAACTTGAATATAAAGCATATAATATTGTGCGAATCGATGAAAATTAATTAAATAATAAAAATTAATTGATGAGATAAATCTTGGAAAAATCAGAATTTTGACCTGGAATATCCTGGAATTATCCTTGAATTGACTAGCCAGATTTTGCTATAGACACCATGTTTTATAATTAAAAATGAAAAAATAAATAAATGATTTCGGGAAGAAATTAAATCTCTAAACCTCTCTTTTCTGGATACGCCGGCCTGCATAATCGCCTGCATTATCGTTGTTTTTTTAAGCTGCGTAAGTACGTCGGAAATCATATAAGTACCTCTGTTCGCCAGATCGATGATTCTTCATATATCAAAAAAATAACGGAGATTCTTTCATCTATGTGTTTTTTCCACAAAAAAAAGAACTTTTTTCATTTATTAAAAAAATAATTTCTGAAAACGGATTTATCCTTGAAAGATACATATCGTTATTA